GGGGGGGGGGGGGGGAAGGATGTTGAGGCCTGGAATTGATCGGCTAATTAGTCCTCAAAGTCCGGTGATTGCGTGAGATCAGTTTTCATGCAGAACTTCTCGAACCTCATCAATTTATCACTCTCGTCTAACCAGTAATTCCATTGTATGGATTTGCCTGCTACAGTATTATTTTTGGCAAGATTTCCGTGTAACCCCATACTTCATTATGCATACAATTCTTGGATGAAAGAAAGCAGATGCGAAACAACAGATTACCTTTCGGATTACGGCTTTGTTTTTGATTGGTGTGGGGTTGTAAGGAAATCTTTTTTTTTATTGTTACAAACTATGTCTATAACGCTGAATCGTTGAAGTGATCGGCCAGTAAATGTCAGTGTATATTCTTTCCATGTCTTTAAAATGTCAATGTAAAATGGTGGGCATGCTGTCTAGCTAAAAAAAGTTTCCCATCGAAGTTGCATTCAGTTTTCTCTAGATTAAAAGACAGGATGGTCTCTATTCGCTTTATACATCTTTTTTATTTGTCTTCATCTAAAAGGAACAGTGACTGAAAATTTATTCCAGTTTCGTCTGTCTTTAGCTCTGTTTTAAATATGACATCGTAAACATTTGCATTTCCTTTCTAACCACCACAGATAACCTTTGTGTCAAACGTTTTTTTATTTTAGAGAAAACAATAACATCGTTTTTGTTAGTTCACAAGTAAATTCTTTGCCTTTAAGAAGACAGACGTTAAATTTCCAGACACCCAAACCCGGGAACCAGGTGTCTGAAAATTCCTTGTTTACCGATTCCTGAATTTTAAAGTCTGACAAAAACCAAGCGAAAATAATCAGTTCAACACAGACTCTCACAACCAGTCTATTGATGGCGGATTCGGCTCACGGTCTGCCAACTTTCTGATGCCACGCTTGGTTAGACTTTTCTTTGTGCTATTCGACGCCCTACGAGTCTTTTTGTATGAATCGGAACATCACTCAGGCCTCTTAAAGCCTCATAATTTCGTATTCCGCCGTAAAAACAGTAATGCGAATCGAACAGTTTTGAGGACAAAAGTTCTTCATCTAGCGTTTGAGTAAAGCAGGTGCTCCATCGCTGCTTGGTGCACGCGTGAAAAATTTCCTATCGTTCTAGCCTTACCTCGTTGTGTCCTGGTTGAGGAACAGATGCTTCTTCGTATTTCAATTGAGACGAATCTCCAAGTGCATGGATCTTGATAGCTTTCATGTCGACGCTAGGTTTATCTAGACGGTTTTGTGTGCTCTACCAAGAGTCAAGTGACGGAGTCGTGAAAATGAACAACGAAGCCGGGGTTTCCAACATAAAATGGTGGCGTGAGGAGGGTTTGGTCGGTGGTGGCGTGAGGAGGGTTTGGTCCGCGTGCTAGCGAACGGAAAGTTTCATTGGCTAAAAATGCTACAATGCTAATTTAATGCGTATGAAGGTATCAAAGGAGGTTGGGCAATCAAGTTCAAGTTCAAGTTTATTAGGTCTTCCAAAACAATGACAATAAACACCGCCTGCAAATAGCGAGCTAATTTAGGCGGGCGATGTTATTAAAGGACAAACAAACACGAATTGAAGGCGTTATAAAAGTCGATTTTGAATATATTATTTGTCAAAAGAGGAAAAAAAAGTGATAAAAAGTGAAAAGTATTATTATTTTTGATTGAATTGTAATTAAGATGCCTTTTTTTATTTCAGAAATAAGAGTGCTATTGTCAGAATAACTGTCCAGTTCTAGAGTTTCAAATAGTAATGCTTGAATTTTCTTTTTGAACATGTGCTTTGGTAGTTTTCGATAGCTTTCGGGAATGCTGTTCCAAATTTGAGCACCAACAATGGAAAAAGAGTTTTTATGATGATTGAGTCTAGAATGATTAATATAGTAGTTACCAGAAGATGATGAGCGAGTATTTTAGTAGAACAAAAGGGGCTTTCAAGCGAAGTCCGTCGCACGAGTAAAATAAAATCGATGAAAAAATTTTGATGTTATTGCGCCGTGCAGATATGTATTTATCATGGGGTACGTAACCCTTTCTTTGGGATGTTGCATGGTATGTTGTCACGATTGCTTCATTAGGGACCTTAAGAAACCACGACGGCGACGCCAAGACTTCGATTAAAAAATGAATTTCTACTCCTAGTTGGAATTTTAATAATGGCTGCAGGAGCTTACTGTCTCGTACAGCGCCACAGCTCAGCTTCAGCATGACTTCTAAAGTGGCCGTTGAGTTCCAAATGGAAATTAAAATAATTTGCCGTCGCGGTTTCGGTTCGCAGACGACGCAAATTTTAGCGATTTCACGTTGTTGTTTTGCATAGGACGGCTAAGAAATGTACAAAGTTTCAAAACGAACGTGCTGAGCTATTGTTCTGCCAACTAGATCTCTTGTTTTTCCACGTCCTCGTTGCTGTCGCCGTCGTGGTTTCTTTATCCCTAGTCATTGGAGAGTTAATTTGAGGGCGTAGGGACGGTCGTAAGACGCGAATGAATATGAATGACAACAGCTCGACTATACAGCTTACCTTTTAAGGTCCCTATTGGCGGTAAGCTGTATAGTCGAGCTGTTGTCATTTATATTCATTCGCGTCTTACGACCGTCCCTACGCCCTCAAATTAACTACCCAATGACTAGAGATTGTCAGTTTCTCTTAGAGGTAGCTTTTTGCATATGCGAACATAGTTTAGATTGTTTTGTACGGTGGTTTTTCTTGCTTTATTTTTAACATTTCCGAGTCTTCATTCCGTCGATGTACCATTTCTATTAATTTTGTTGATGAAGGCATAATAAAGAGGGTCGCATGCGGCTCGTGTTGACACACCCCAATTATGGTTACTTATTTATACATAAGCTCGGATTCCTTTGTTCTTTTCGGGGGGAATATATTACATAATCTACGAATCAACTGTCCGAAAAGCTGGTTGCTTGGATCGTTTGAAGGGATGAGCGGGGCTTATGAACAGCTAATTGAAATGCGGGGGGATTATGTATTAATACGCAAGGGCGATAAGTGACTTATTCCCCTTGCATATTAATACATAATTCCCTCGCATTTAAATTACCTGTTCATGAAGAACAAATTTACAGTAAATACAGTGAATTTGGAGGGTATTCACTCTTATCCTTCTTCCTTATTTCATACAAACTTGCCCAGCCAAAACGACAGTTCGACATTGCAGTGTCTTTAAAATTCCACTGTTTGGAGCTACCACGAAAGTGTCGCTGTCATTTATTGGTAACGAGTTTCGCTCAGTAACCATTCATCCCAAACTCGTGTACTCCATGAAATTGCCCTTTTAGTGTTTTGTGGTATTCTTCCTTCATTCCTCGCCTGAATTTCCTTGTCGGTTACAGTAGTAATCCCTCGGCCGGAATCTTTATCTGTAAAAATGTCGGTCAAAAGATCCTCAGTACGTAAATTAAAATTGTCAACTGCTTTCTCGTTGTCTGCACCCGCAAATAAAGATTCAAAGTTGTTTTCCGAAACCTCAATTGAGGTACCGCCACTACAACTGCTTTGAGTAACAAACAGTTCTGACTCTGAATCGCTCAGCATTGCTAGCCTGTTCCTATCATTCACTACGAACAAGACGAACAACTAATTCGAAATGCGACTTTAAAAAACTAACATAATTAAAAAGCCGAGAAACTTGTGAATCCCACCAATGCCAGCATGGAGTGTTGAAAAACAAAACAAACGTGAACAATAGAGCCATTTTTCTTCAGTGTATTTTTGCATCCCTTGAGGAATTCTCGCACATGTAAAAATAAGCCATTTATCGGCCTTCAGCTCGTGGTTATGTGATTTATTCCCCTCGTGCGTTGCCGAGGGGAATAAATCACATAACCCCTCGCTTCAAGCCGATAACCCTTACTAATTGAATGATAAATGTTTTATATTCGTTTGAGCGGGGTAGCGAATTAGAATATAACTCTTGCTTCTTGCTAATTTTCGTACGCTTCACTTCCAGACTTCTGCGCGTCGCGCAGAACTCCTCTGACTTTTTTTTACTCGCGCGAAGGACTTCGCAGAAAACCAGGGACTGCTTGTGTCTTCTGACAACTCCCTTGAGAGACATTGGATCATTCTCGCACCAGAGCCGCTCGTTTTCACTTATACCGTTTCTCCGACCACGTGCCTAAACGGAACGAGGAAAGAGAGTGCATCGTGATGTCATCGGTTCACTTTGCGAATGCTCCTCCTCTTTCTGATTCTCGACTCGTTTCCCATCAACTTTTTAATCTGGAATATCCTTATACCGGGTCGACGAATGGTATCATTGTAATATTTTGTACTTCATTTTTTATCTTATGAAAGAGATGAACAAAAAATTGCGTACATACACACACACACACACAAAAAAAAAATATGTAGCAGGTAAAGAAAATAAACCACATTTAAATGGTATACACAATGATTTATTTCTGTATGAGAGATGCTGTCGATTTATGAGTATCACAAAATATCTTAATATCAATGTGCTAGAATCAATTTGAAAAAACACATTACCAGCTGGCTCTATTCACATCAATAGCTTGCTAGTAACGATCAGAACACAAAGTTTCGATGACAGTTTCAAGGTTTAAGCAAGAGTTTTCCAGTTGTCTTCTTGCCTTCAAGCATTTCAAAAGCTTTCTTTGCTTCTGAAAGCATAAACACAGTAAAAGTATCCATTTTAATCTTTCCTTGTGTGATCCAATCAAAAACAGCATTGGCTCTCCCAGACAAATCCTCGGGCGTTGCTATGTAGTCAAATAACCTTGGAAGAACGAGACTGTGTGACCCAGATGAAACAAGATTGAGCTCCATGGAGTCTGGGTAACCAGATGCACCACCGAAAAGGACCATGGTACCTCGTGTTGCCAGGCAGTTAAAACCTGTACAAAATATACTTTGATGTAAGGTTTCTAAAAAGATCCCAGTATTCCCATAAGACAGTTCTGTCCATAAAAGGCAATATTTTATGTATGTGAAAACCACATCTTTAACTAGCGGTAAAAAAATTGTCAACTACTAATATCAACACACTTCAAAACACATCTTAAAGAAGTTGTGAAAATAAAGCTTTTAAAGGAAAAAATCTGGCCTGAACAGGACTTAAATCTACTATCGCTCCACTTAAGATAGCAGTAGAGCATTTTTTGTCAGGTTTTATTTTCACAAATTCTTTATCATTGTTTTCACTGCAATGACCAGAGCCTCACTTGATGCACAACTTGCCTTTGTAAAAAGTTGTCTTTCCAACCCCATCATAAATGACATTGACTCCAGCTCCTCCTGTGATCCTGTTGACTTCCTGGACAAAGTCTTGATTAGAGTACAGAATGACCTCATCGGCTCCACAAGCCTTTGCCTTAACGGCTTTCTCTTCTGTGCTTGTTGTGCCAATGACATAAGCTCCTGTAATCAAACAAAAAAGCCAATGAGAAATGGAAGACTTGGTGACTCAGTCAAACAACAAACCACAGATTATTTTTCCAGTTTATTGACCACATGATGTGAATGAACTTATGGTCTGAGTTTATAGATCAGGTCCAACAAGTTTCCCTGTAAGAGCTTAGCTAACAGACTTTGGAGGTTCAAGTAACCACCCTTTTTGCTAAGAAAAACAGATACTAGTAATCTGTTATGTGAAAACAAGATGCTAAATAAATGTAACACAACATCCAGAGCTAGTCTTCCCTACAACTATATCCCAGTTGCCTAAAAATTAATGTATTTATTTATCCCCATAATAGTTCACAGTGAGGTGTCCAGGAGAGCAGTTTGCCACAACAGTAGTCAGTAATTTTATTTTTTGCAGAAAGTTTCAGGCCACTTATTAAGCTCTTACTTGATTATCTGATTTAAGCCCTGTCTACATGAGCAATTTTTATGTGGCAACTGTATGTGGCAATTTTTATTTGCCTGTGTAGATGGCTCGACAAATACTTGTTGTTAATTTGCGTCAGTAATAATTTTGCACAGCGGAGATGCTCAGGGAAAGGAAAAAAGCAAGATGGCAAAAGTCAGAAGACGTGCCAGACGCATTGCAGCTTTAGGCACATTTGTCACATTTTATGTAGCGTCTCATCTACATGGACAATTCTTTTATGTGGCAATTTTTATTTGCCACAAAAACTAACATGCCAGCTTTTCAGCAAATGCAGTTGTCACATAAAAATTGATCATTTTTCATCATCTACATCATCAGTCTTCTTTGTGCTCTGTTGCACATAAGGCCTCGATACTTCTCTTCCATCAGTCCCAGTCTCTTGCAGTAATCTACACGGGCAAATAAAAATTGCCACTTAAAAATTGCCACATAAAAATTGCTAGTGTAGACAGGGCTTTCTAAGGACAAACAGAAGTACAAATACTGCAGAGAAAAGGTCTCGGAAAATAATACCCTTTTAATGAAATTATCTATAACAAATCCTGAAAGCCAGAACCAGATGATAATTTGAGAACAAAAAGGATGAGCGATAGGCCGAGTAAATTCATCGGGTCTTTAAATTTGATAACAAATGAACAGAAAACCAAGATGTTAGGTGACAGTTATATTTCAGTATAAACTATACCATCATCAGACTGAAAATACATACAAAATTAGGAGCTTTTGTAACTATTTACGCTCCTAATTTTGTATGTATTTTCAGTCTGATGATGGTATAGTTTATGCTGAAATATAACTGTCACTTAACATCTTGGTTTTCTGTTCATTTGTTGTCAAATTTAAGACACGATGAATTTACTCAGTCTATCGTTCTAAAAATCCTGACCCTTCACACTGGAACATTTTAAGTAGGCGTAGTATTTGGTAATCTTTATGGTCTAATGGGTAGCACTTCAAACTTCAAAGTCTTGGTAAAGATATCTTTATGAGCTATTAAGTTATTTCTTAAGGAATAAATCTCTCTTCACCACTCACAAGTTTAAATAGGAACTGGGATGCGTGTAAACCTATTTCTTTGGAAAGGGAAGTGATTATTATGGGGAGAGGTGTAGGTTAATGGATAATTACTTCAGCATATGGCATTATGAGAAATATTGCAGCCAGCTGAGGCCTACGGCCTCATATTTCTCATAATGCCATGTGCCGAAGTAATTATCTATCATAATTATTGATCCCCATGAAATCCTATTGTTCCGTGTCTGTGTTGGATCTTCAATTTTAGTCGCACCTATGCCTGATAATCGTAATGCTCATTGCTATTGTTCTTTGTTGTGATGAATATATCTTCGATTTTAATTGTGCCGAGGGTTGTTATTGTAGATCGTTGTTATAGTTGTTCAAAACAGTTCTAATGATAGAATTATTTTGTGCAAGGCATGTAACACTGCTAATTTGCATACTTCATAAGCCGGAGAATTCAGTCATTTTACTCAGTGCGAACCTGGGTTTAGAAAGAAGATGGATTCGTCGGAAGATGAAGGATTATTCAATTCACAGAGCTCTACGAAGGCAGATATTTCAGCAGAAATCAAAGATAATGTAGTGTAATGCTTGGACATTTCTGTCAGTGCTTTAATTCTTTATGGAATTCTAAAGGCAGCGTTTCCATTTTCTTTTTTTAAAACGAGCAAAGATTTAGAACGCCAATTACAGCTTCAGAATGCGAGAAATTTGACAAAAGTTGGGTTTCAGATGCCAGCTGCCGGAAATGGGCGTGGGTTTTGAAAGTCTTTGAGGAGTGGAAGAAGCAATATTTTTAATAATTGTAACCTGCACACTGCAATATTTTTAATATTGCAGCCTGGACACTGCAATATTTTTGATATTGCAGCATGCTTATTTAGCGTGTTTAATTATATTACCCCTGATAATTTCCCTGCTAACAAAAAGGACCGCCTCCGTTTTCCTCATACAGTTGTTTTGTCATCTTAAAGACTAAAATCGTTGATTTAATGCAGAAAGAGAACAATAGAATTTCATGGGGATCAGTCATGAGAAGACAAGCTCAAGTATCTCGGAGAGCTCCACACAATTCCTTATAATAAAACTATAAGGAATTGTATGGAGCTTTTTTAGCATTAGTTGAGGCGCAGTAGGCGTTGTCACATATGACCCTCGCAAGGGTCATATGTGACAACACCCGCCGCACCACGACTAACGTTAAAAAAGCTCCATACAATTCCTTATAATAAAATTATAAGGAATTGTATGAAGCTCTCGGGGATACTTACAGTGCAAGCCCTGTGTGTCTTCTCATGATTATATATTAGATAACACTAACACAAAACCAGATTATTAATTCAAAGCTGTGCTTTTACAAAGAATCACACACTGCGTCAAGCCTGTTAACTCTGCAATCTGGGTTGCTCAGCATTTGAAAGCTTTCAAGAAACCAAAGTTACTCAAAACACCCGAGGAAAAAACTTCCCAGTAATATCTATAATAGCAGCATGTTACTGTTGGAGCATGTGGTCTGTTGGAGCAGCCAGCAATCTTGCATCTATGTAAGCCAACTGGTTCTCAAGAAAACCTTAAAGAAACAATTTTTCTACCTGCATTTTTAGCAACTTGACATATCAGGGACCCAGTCCCACCAGCAGCTGCATGGACCAACACCTTGGTACCAAGTCCCACATGGTATACAGAGTGAACCAAGTAATGAGCAGTGATACCCTGGATCATGGTTGTCGCTGCTTGTTCAAAAGTAATGTTTGATGGCACTTTGACAAGTTTATCCACTGGAACAGTACTGTATTCTGCAAAACTTCCTAAAATGGAATTGTGTTTCAATGAACAGAAATGAATAAGAAATCCTGACTTCAATAATGTAACTGCATTAGAGCTTGATAGCATATATCTATCCAGGGTTTTAATTTCATGTTGACTGCTGATTAAGAAAATGATTTCTAAGCTGCTTATTGAAAAATAAAACTGAAAATAGTACATGAAATTTGCAAATAGTAAGTGACTGTAAAATATTTGAAATTTTATGTTAAACAAAAACTATTTCAAACAGACTACTTTCTTGCTTTGGCTCTCCTCTAATATCTGGTGCACTTAGTCTAGTTAATAGTTACCATATTACTATATCACTTACTGCGTATCTAAGAGACTCTTACAAATATCACTGAAACTCTCTAAATTTCCTCAAAGTTTCTGGCAGGACAGGTACCCAGACCCCCTAGAGACTTGGGCCTTTGCACTATCTCATCCAAACATTTCCGAGACATCTGTTTATTATAAAATTTAACTACAAGGGCATAAATGATAGAAATGTTTTAAACATACTCACCTGAACCAAGATGAAAATAAGCCACACGATCACCCACAGCCACACCATCCGAACCAGATCCCAGCTTTTCTACAACTCCTGCACCCTCTACTCCAAGGACTGCTGGAATGCCTGGTAAAGGAAAAACTCCTTCACGAAGATACACGTCAAGATAATTAACACCACTTGTATGATTCTTAATCAAGGCCTGAAAAAGAATAAACAATGTCAGCAACTGTGTTTCTAGTTGAGGATAGAGTAATCCTTTTAACCTGTTGATCTTTTCAAGAATTGAAACAGCTTGTTAACAGTAGTAAGAGGTACTACAGATGATTAACTTTTAATTGGTTACTGCCTGAAATTAGGAGAACACAGCTGGTTACTGTGTCAAAATGCAAGGTTGTAGGTGTAGGTTGCTGTTGCTCGCTGTAATTAGGTAAAAATCTTTGCAGTAAAAATAGGAATAATTGAATATGAGTATTTGAGCCTGTAAAGGCAAGCAAGGGCAGCTAGGTTGAGTGAATCAATTGGCAGATTAGGGAGTGTAAGATTTCCGCACAGCCCTACACAATAGATTTCAGTGCCTTTGGACCACAGCTTTGTTTTGGAATATTAGGGGTCTATGTGCAAATCCTCTTTGTGAGGAGGAGCATGCTGAAAATTATGCCTGTTTTTCATTTCAAATGTACTCTCGTCTTCTCACTGCATGTTTCCCTCGCCCTTGCATCTCTATTCTCAAGGTCAGCTTAATTAATCCCCACGGGGTATAGGGCCAGGTTGGGAGCCAAGCAGTGAAGGTTGCTGTAAAAACAGGTCCACGTGTGCCGACCCTTTCTACTACGGGTAGAATATTTGAAAGAGAAAGGTCCAGCAGTGAATACGTGAGACTTATATGATATTTTAAATTCCACTTTTTAAAAATTTTGTTCTACCAAAGCATGTGTATCTTCGATCGGTCGCGTCCCACATTGCCTGCGTGAGTCCTTACCTCACCGTGCTGGGGTTCTGGAATGAGTACATCCTCAAACCTCCTGTTTCGTTGATCTTAATGGCCTTCATAACGCTGGGTTTGTCCTTCTTACAGTTCTCGCCTAACGCTATACTCTTTTAACCGTTCCTTTCCCAAGCAAGGCATGCCCAGATGCAGGGGATCCGGAGTTACTGCACCACGGGCGACGAGCGGGGCAAGAAAAAGGGTCCGAGATATGAGTGGTCAGCGGTCAAATAGCTGTAGCGACAAATTACTTGTATTTGCTGTATTGAATAATGGTGGTAGCAATTCCTAAATGTTAATAATAAACTTTGCTAAATAACAATATAAGCAATTTTTCAAAAGCGTTTACTCTACAAATATTTTTCACTGCTCTAAGAAGCAACGAAGGCATCGGGAAAGGCATCAAAAAATGATATTTTTGTTTAGTAACTTGCTATGCGAGGAAAAGAAAGTATCGTGACTTCCGGTTTTCCTAGGTGTTAATTACAGCTGGCGTGCTTTTCACTTGATTTTTGCAATCTACTTTTTTTTTTCAGGGAAATGAAAAGCTAGGGAACTCTAAAAAAATTGAGTTCTCGATCTGAATGATTTTTGAGTCTTTTATAAGTTTGTATCCACAGCCTTTCATAACAAAAATTCTACCAGCTGAAGTTCTCTTACTTCCTATAATATATAAAGAATCGCCTCCATTCCATGTGAAAATATGCAAGGAGGAATACTCAGAGCTTTAAGAAACAGCCAAATTAAGGCTAATCTGTTTACCAACCCTCAAATATTTCTAATAAAGGCCGCTCATTTTAAGAGACCTTTTCTTAAAACAACTATATGTTAAAATAATTGTGTTTTCCGTTCAAAATGTTTCTTTCTACGCACTTTAACAGATGCGCTCGAGATGATAGCTAAACGTTCGAGTCGAACAAAAATAGAGCATTTTGAATTATTTTTTAACTGACTTTTTAAACAGTTTTAACTAAAACCGTGGCTCCCCAAAAATATTTTTCTCACCTTGCCTTACACGTCTTAAATTTTTCACAACTTCGCCTGTCCCTGTTCGTAAGTCCAGCCAAGCCCCTATGGTCATTGGTCCCCGTAACTTTGGCTTATAAATATAGGTGTTTAGTTATACTTGTAAAACTCCCTGAAGCAGTTTACGATAGTTAGACGAAACGCGTCGGGGAATAGAGAAGTATCGCAACTACTGTTCACAGAAGAGCTGCTCACTAAATAAAAAATGAAAAATAAAAAAAAATCGTTTAAAAAATAATTGAAAAATAATTTTAAAAATTAAAAAAAAGGATTGATAACACAATTATTTAATATAACTACAAATGATTTGTCTCTACATGATACGTTATAGCTATTTCCCCGCTGACCGCCCATATCTCAGACTATTTTTCTTGCCCCGCTCGTCGCCCGTGATTTGGTAACTCCCCAGATGCAGGTGCCTAGTCCCTCACGGATATTTGTATGACAATCACACACACCCGACCCCTCTTGGTGATAGCCGACTGGAGTTGATTTTTTTTCCATTTTTGTCTAAAAGTATGAACGATCTAAAGTGCAATAGCAAAAGATGTCAAACAAAATCAAGTTACTGTACTGAGATGCGAGTGTGCGTTGTCAAATTTGGTTATTTGATCTCCTGCCAGCCAACAATCCACGAACAATTAGTTAAATGCTACTCAAGGCAGAACACGTTCGGTAGTTTTGATTCAAAGTGCATATGACACGAAATTTTTTTCTCTCGTTTCTTGTAGTTGGATATCTAAAAAAAACATTTTGAAGCTTTAAAAGTGCTGGAAAAATGTAAAAAGCATTTTTTTTGCTTTCAAAATACGCGCAATTTGCCTTCAAATTTGTTCCGGAGACTGGGACCTAGTTTATCGCCGTCGACTATTACTCGTGACGTCACATTGTGTACCTTTGCCGAGAAGGTCTGTTGTCGCTAAGAGGAATCTGCATTACTTCGTAATACATAGATAATGCACTGAAAGGCAAAGATGTCCAGTGATTCTAATGATTCCTTTGAGTCCGACTCTTCTGAAAGTTCCACTGAGGTACACAATGTGACGTCACGTTACGATATCACATGCGATTTTGGCCGCGCGATGACCGGGACAAATTTGAAGGCAATCTGCGCGTATTTCGAATGCAAAAAAAAAAACGCTTTTTAGATTTTTCCAGCACTTTTAAGGCTTCAAGACGTTTTCTATAGATATCCAACCACAAGAAACAAGAGAAAAAAATTTCGTGTCAAATGCACTTTAATGCACTCAATAAACATTTATCTTTTCATTCACCGCCAGAGGGCCGTTTTGTTCGTTTGACATTCAGGGGTGTTGTCACTGAATGTCACGTGGTGTACAGAGTAATTAATCCAACGAGACGACACAGAGAACAAAGGCGCTCAGTTTTGATCCTCTTAAATAGAAGACTCCGACTCCACAAACAGACTGACAGTTTTGTTGTTGTTTCTCATCTTCAATACCAGCGCTTTCACTTCGTCCCACATTCCGACTCATTCCACAGCTCCCAAGGTTTCTGTAAGTGAATTTTAAATTGAACACAATTTTCTAATTACTATAATTCAGATGACACAGAACACTTTTCATTGCTATGCCGAGAAATGCTTTAAAACGTGCGGCAGATGAGTTCATTTAAATTTCGCATAAATCGCATTGTGTTGGGCAGTTTATCTCTCCAGTCGAATGCGCAGTCAAATCAGGGAGCTGTTTTCGCGTGATGATGGAGAAGACCATTAGTTAAATTACCAGACCTTGAAGGAGTGACTGACACTTAGACAAGATTTGGACTTGTGTCTTGTTGTACACTCCTTTGCGATATCAACTGGGTGCAAATAAGCAACAGTTCATTTGACTTTGTCGATCACGAGTCGTCATCTACCGGTCAAAGATGATGTTTTTCATGACAAAGTCCTCGACAAATAAGCCACCAACAAAACTGACGGGTATTGAAAAGAAATTTTTAAAGATCTGCTTAAAATACCTCTAACTGTTCAAATTCAAGTTTTCCCAATAATAATTGGTCATAATTGGGATACTGACGAAGAGAATTGATTAGTTGCCTGATCAAGAAGTTTCCGGTTTATGGAAAATGCTAATTTGTCTATGGCAACAATGGGAAATGGCTCTGCGCGTTTGTGATGTCACGAAATTTTGACCCCCTAGAGCGATTAGGACAAACAAACAGGCTTTTCGAGTAAATGAATATGGGCGATGATGCGCCCATCTCCAGTTCAAACGCCTCTAAAGTTCGTATTTTAAATCAAAACGACGGTGTTCCTGGCTCAAAGTTCGAGCAAGACCAAGAGAACTATACAAACACACAATTGAAGCGTTAGTTAAAGTGTAGAGGCTTGAAATTGAGTGGAAAATGAGCAGACCTCATCGCACGTGTTCGTGACTGCCTCGAGTCGGGAAAACATTATGTAGTTGATTCAAGTATAGATGATGGGAAATGGCATCAGGCGAAGATACTAAAGTAAAGTTGATCGCGTGAAACTTAAGGATCTAACAGTTCAATGTAAAAAGGGGTTTGACAGGCCTACACGACTCCCCAGCGCGTGTTTAGAATAGCCTATTCAAATTTTGGCCCTCACGAGTATGTTTTTGAGCGATCGTCCTTATTTTTAAGACATGAGTGGCGGATTTTTGTATAGTTCGCTCAGTACTGGTTGTTTCTATTAAATGCCAGTGTCTCATGAGAATTTGCTTTAGGTTAGGCACTGATGGCTGGTATTGTGTAATAAAAGGCAAGATTCGTTGGTTCGTCTTCGGTTTCTGTTGAATAGCTAGTTTCCTGTTTTTGAAATTCACCTCTGAAAGGGTTGTGTTAATGAGGGCCTCTGGGTAGCCTCTCTTTCGCAAATGCGCTTTGAAATTTGCAATTTTCTCTTCGAATGTTGTTTGAGAAGAGTTTGTTCTGAGAAGTCTAAGGGCTTCTCCTTTTATTAAGCCTTTCTTAACTCCCTGTGGGTGACAGGAACTATAGTGTGTATACTGAAATGTCTCAGTTTGTTTAAAATGAGTACGCACATCAAGGATTACGTCCTTTTCGAATCGTTCGCCTTTATAATTATAGATGTAGGTGTCCAGGAATGTTGTTTCCTTATCGGAAATTTCAGCCGTAAATTTCATTGTTGGATGANAAGTACCCGAGACCATGTAAATGGGGTCCTATTTAGGTCATTGTAAAGAGAGGTTCTTGCCTTGGAAAGCAGACAATTAACAATAAAAACAGCTGTGTAGCAGTTTATTTGGGCTCTCACTGACAGTACGAAACCTTTTAATTTTGTGTTAATGCTTCGTGAGCGTCTGAATCAATAAATTGGGAGTTTCTGGCGCTCAGTCGGTTCAAAATGATTGGAATGCGTTGGAAAGCGTAAAACAAACATAAAAAGAAGAAAATTGTCGAGTTCCTAACCAGTCACCTCCATGTTTGATAATGTTACAAAAAGCAGAAGACCCTTTTTTCCACCCTATCTAATACTTTGAATAGCTGTTTGAGGGATATGTCAGTCAAGGACAACTGTTACCTTATAAATTGTACTGAGAGCAAGCCAACGGTGCATTTGTACGCGTTCTAGTCTAACACGATCACTTGGTGGTACGGACATAAACTGTATTGTTGCAATTTTAGTTTCCTTTATACATTTTTAATAGATTTACACCATGACGCTGACCTTTGCTGGAGAGATGCAAGTGCTTCTTCGGCAGTGGAAGGTGACTTCTATAAACGGTACGTTTAAAAATGACATTTTTGTTCAAAAGATCCGGGTAACTTCGGCAGGTACAGTGTACTCCATGCAGAGAAACCATATTTTAGCGTAACCCTATGAGAGCGACTGGCTTCTAATTACAGAATCACCCTTGAACTGATCAAATGTGAAGGTCATGAGGATGAAGATTTTCACCGCAAACAAACTGTTAAACAAATTCTCTTTATCAGCACTAAAGGAAATGTATAGTAAAATAGCATGGAGAATTTGGATACTGACGGTAGGTATTCAACAATTATTCGCCAAAGGTAAAGTGAACAATATATTGGTTTATCCTCCAAAAGAAGTCGAGGGGATTTATCGAACAAAGTTCACTAAGCCTGAGCCGAAGAATTGTTTATCACGGAATTATTTCTCAGTTGCTTTCGAATTCTCTTGTAAATTCTGTAAACAAAGAAAGCATCGCGCACATTTTGTGAGAATTGTGGTGATTATTCATATCAAGATAAGCTAGGTATTTCAGCAGGTTTATTTAATTCAATCAGCAAAAACTTCATGTCTTTCCTTTGAAAAGAGTTCCACCAAACTCAGTAGCATCTTTTGTGCGGTCATTACTTCTTGGAAACATTGAAAAAATGCTAGGCAGCCATTATGAATTAGGGGCCCTGCTCTAATCACCTCGCGCGATATGACGCAATCCTCGACCAATCAGAGCACGCGCATCTCTCTAATCACCTAAGCAATTATACTTAAAAGGGTTAATGATCCTAATATTTTCATAGCGACATGTGCATTATTTTGTTTCACAGGATTAGGTGGATCATTGATTGCAGTGTTTTCCCTTGCTGTATTATACGAGTTTCTGTCTTCATATCACAGATATCTCGGTCTACCCAACGGAAGAGGAAAAATCACTCAGGAATTCGGTAGTAACAAGAGGTTTGTTAGATGCAAAATAACACGAAAATATACAGATGTCTTTTCATGACTCGGTCAGTTTTTGGAGATTAAACACGCTCATGGTTTGAAGTCGGAGCCCTTTTCTGTCAGTTTTACGTAAAGATTGATTTGAACCAGCATCAAAGCTCTGACAATGATTCATTTGTTTATCGTTGAAGGGGTTGACATGAGGTTATTCTAGGTTGATATCAATCTCTTCCACAATGGAATCTTCGGAAGGAGCAGGGAGGACCAAGATCATAGTATTTTGAGATTATTCATTCCACACCTTATGGAGACTCTCTGGTATTTTCAATCTTAGGCTAGGATTCCACTGTTTTCTTAAAACCGGTCTCCGAGGCTTCGGGTATGAGGCGGGGTGTGTTGTGGCACAGAGGATGGAGCGGGCTTATCCTGGCCAGCGGCTAATAACCGAGCCCCTATCAACCCAATATACTTCATTTGTTCTTTCAGTATACTTGATCACCTCCTGAGGACAAGTTCTTATATTCTGTCAGCGATAACAGGTTACTTGTTGATGCTTGTGGTGAACACTTTTAACGTTTGGCTCTTTGTGTCTGTTGTGGTTGGATTGGGCTTTGGTTTCTTTCTATCGAATCCGCTGTACATGACGTATCGAAATATGGAGTTACAACGAAGAACACAAGATCAAAGGAACAACAATGGCGTTCAGAGGCGATCAAAACGCGACAAACAGAATGAAAAATCACTGGCTTGATCTGAGTTGCTAAATGGAAACGTTTATCTCGTCACCGCGCGTACGTTTCGGTACAAGAGGAAAGAAAAACCGTTTGCAAGAATTCAGATAGACTACGACCATTCCCTCCTTTTTGGCGAAGTCCGTCGCGCGAGTTCGAAAAAATCAGCGAAAAACAAAAAGGGGGGCTAGCACTCCACATGAAACTCTGGAACACTGATTTTATTAGACTTGCGCAACGGACTTCACCGAAAAGGAGGAACTGGTCGTTGTCTAGAATCCAGTAATGGAAGGAGGGAACTGAAACATACGAATTTGTTTCAATGCGGTCAGCAGCTTATTCCACCTCAACCTTTTACCTCCCAGTGTTTAATTAGAAATTCACTCTCCAAGTTGATATATAGTTTCTTGAAATTTAGTCAGGCGAACCTGATGTAATATCAAGATACTATTATCCAGCTGCATTGGAAAGAGTACACATATAGCGCGAATTGAGTCTATATCATGTGGTCATAATTTCACGTTGGTTATTTTGTGGTGTAAAAAAACCTGTTTAACCAGTCGGCTGCGCGCGCTACGCTTCTCTATCTGCTTCGCTTTTCCCGCCTTGCGTGGAAAGCGCATTGTGTTTTGTAGCTTACCCTTCGGGCTCGTAAAATACGGCACAATTCGTAAAATACTCACCAATACTACATATCAAAACGTCTAATTAACAATTATCCCACGAGCGCGCGTTGGATATGAGATGATAGATAGCCAACGAGGCGCGTAGCGCCATGTTGGCTATAATCATCTCATACCCAACAAGCGCGAGTGGAATAATTGTTTTATTAAAAACGCCCCCAAGAAATTATTATTTTGTAAGAAGAAACCGGATTTTTTAGCTCCCTTTTGATTTTAAGCTGACGCGTACGCTTACCATATTTGTAGATTATGGTATATTGGCTCATATACCATAATGGCTAAGCCAATAAAAAGTCTTGAATTGCATTATCCAATGATCCAGTTTTTAATATTAAGATTTGTTTACCCATTGATGGATGCGTTTGTCTTTTCTCGTCACTTGTGTGATAATAGGGACTTGAAGCAGTCAGAACGGAAACGCCACGGAAGACGTCGGGTTCCTACTTTTAAAAAATGAGTTCCTACTTTTAGTTGGAATTTCGAAAATGGCTGCATGTGTTTACCGTCTCATAAGGCGCCAGACCTCAAACTCAACATAACGCATAAAAGTGACGTTGAGTTCCAAATGTAAATTAAAATAATTTTCCGCCGCGGTTTCGCTTCGCAGACGACGCAAATTTTGGTGATTTTACGTTGTCGTTTTGCAAAGGACGGCTAAGAAATGTACAAAGTTTTAAAACGCACGTGCTGGGCTATTGTTCTGCCAATTAGATGTATTGTTTGTCCACGTTCTGGTTGCCGTAGCCGTCATGGTTTGCTTAAAGTCCCTAATGTATTGATACTGTAAGGAGGAGCTAATTTTTAATTCCCCTTTGTGTGATTTATAAATATTCAATCAACTCGAAAGAAGCTAAAAGTTACAGGAAAAAAAAAACGTGTCATTTAAGATATACCAAGGGGAATTAGAAAGGTCCATGGTTCGTACAACTTCAGAAAAACAAAATTCAAGAACTTTTCAAGGACAAAAAGTGGTTTTCAAGGACTAAGTTTTATTCATAAATCTAAACCATTTACGATTGAATACACATTTGCCCATCGCTCAATTAAATTGAAAACAAAGGGAAATGAAAAACCAATCGACCAAAACATAGCCAAAGCACTACATGTTTACGTTGCCCCTTAAAACAAAAGCACATGGCGGACTACCCCACATCGGAGGCCTTGCGCATGAAATTGAGGCAAACATCTAACTTTGCATCATGTACCACTCACGTTTTATACCGACCATTTTCGCTTATTGGTCAGTTACTACTGGACAAATTTTCCCTAGCAAAATCATTTAATTCATCAGAAAAGCGATAAGGCGCACATAAGTTGCTAAATTTCAAGGACTTTTCATGACCTACTAAAGAAATCAAGTACTTTCCAAGAACTTTTCAAGACGATCGTTAAAAATTCAAGACCTTTTCAAGATTGTACGAACCAGGAAGGTCGGCGATGAAGAAGACTATAAACGGCTACAAATGACAAACTCAGCCTAAAAAATTTAGGACAAATTTTCCAAGACGAGTTCCAACTGTGATCACGAGGTAGTCTCTAAATAACGTCCAGAATTTAATGATTCCTTGAAGCCATTGTTATTTTATTTAAAAAACATTTTATGCTATAATACGGTAACTCATTTTACAATTCAGTTTGTTTAAGGTACTGGTAGGTGAAATGAAACAAGCCTGTTGTTTTACCTTTACCTTGAAAAGTAAGAGTTTGGTCTGTAAAAATGATTAAGTAAAAATTAGTTATGGCTGCCTTTGAAATGGTATTTTTAAAAAAATTATACATCTTATTTCAAAATATTTCATTTAACAAAGGTTCCTCAGTTTTTAAAAAGTTACGACAATTGCCTTGGCAATCGGCGACGCTTCCACACAGGAATAAAATGTTTTACGTACTCACTCAGCCATGCAGCTAACGGGTTTCTATTACATGCCGGGAAGGCGCCAGATGGAGGAATGAGAATGAGTGAAAACCGACCCAGTTCTCCTCCTCCTCCTCCTCCTCCTCCTCCTCCTCCTCCTCCTCCTT